CCTTTCGCTGTAAAAAAAACAACAACAAAACAACAAATTTTTTTTTTTAAAGATTTTATTTATTTATTTGCGAGAGAGAATGAGAGACAGAGAGCATGAGAGGGGGGGAGGGTCAGAGGGAGAAGCAGACTCCCCGCCGAGCAGGGAGCCCGATGCGGGACTCGATCCCGGGACTCTAGGATCACGACCTGAGCCGAAGGCAGTCGCTTAACCGACTGAGCCACCCAGGCGCCCCCAAAACAACAAATTTTAATACTTTAATCATACTAGTGTTCTCTAGATGTTCGTTGTTTAACGATTAATACTTTTTATCTAGGGCTTAAAAACCTCCCTGGTCTTAAAAAACGTATTTAGCCGGTGCGTAAACTTGGGAACCAATGGACCCTGAGTGAAGTAGAGACGAACGGCGATGAATAGCCATCGAGCGCCGCGCTGGATGGGGCCCGGGTGTGCGCACCAGCCGACGGTGCAGGGCCGCGGGGCAGACATCGGGGGGAGGGGCGGGCGGCCTGCAGGGGCCGTGGTGCTGGGTCCCGGGCTGTGCAGCCGCGTCCGGGGAGCACACCTTGCGCTGGTCCACAGAGCGCGGAGCCTGTGACGCTTCTCGGGCGGGAAACACCAGAAACCGCCCCTGTACCTTGCTCCTGCTCCGTCTTCTGTATGGGAATCTTTTCCTGTGTTCTTTTTTTGTGACCGTTTACATGCTTTTCCACTTGAGCACCACACGCAGTAGGTCTGTCCGCCTCGAATTTCACATGTTGTCAGCAAGATGGAATTTTTAAAAGAGAGGGTTCCATTTTAAATGCACTAGAGGAAGCTTCCTAGATATGGGGGGATTTAAATAAATCCCTTTATAAAGTAAGGAAGGACTCACACACCCACCCGGCCCTCCCGGCCCACACGGATCTGCTTTATCAATGCAGGTTCTGTTTGGTGCTCCGTGAGGCCCCACACGCTCAGAGGCCACTGAGCGGGGTGCAGCGCCTTCTCACACCACCCTCCCCGTGTGTCCCCAGGGCTCACTACAGACCACGGACTGAGTTCTGGAAACTTCCCTCTCTGCACACACCGCAAATACCTTATTATCATAATCCTGACAAGCAAGGGGGACATTAGCCATCCACGTCACACAACTGACCTGACTTCATAAATCCATCACTCCCCGAATTTAGTTCTGGACGTTTTTAAGCGTCGGTTTGACCTCCTCAAGTGTCGGACTGGCTCCAGGTGAAGTGGGATTCTGAGCTAGCTCCCCCGGCGTGGTTTAAACTCCTTGTGTAGGGAAGACCCGATCAGGCTTCCCTCCTGTCCCTCCTCTTCCCTCACAGACAGTGGTCCAGAGGGCGTCATCATGTAATAAAACAAGAGAGGTTCCTCGTAGCATTTTATCCAAGGATCCTGCCGGCTCGGGACAACGGCCGGCAACCATCGTCCACACGGACAGCCACCCAGGAGGGAGGGCTGCACATGTCCCCAGCCCGGCCGTGGCCTCCTGCAGGGACAGCCTCCATACAGCCCCAGCATACAGAGCAGCCCCTCGGAATAAAAGAGCAGCTGGAAGGGGTTTTAAAGCCAGCTTCAAGGACTAAAGGAAAGTGACCTGAGCTGCCTTAAAAAGAGAGGGGTTCTAAGTCCGGACCCCACATGAAGCCCTCGGATTTCATTTCGCAAGGACTGGGATGCATCTCTGTCTGTTGCACCACGGTCCGCCCCACACCTGACGCATCCGAATGCGGGCCTCGAGGTCCTAGGAGGAAGTAGCTGCGAGTCCGGCTGGAAGCTAGTGTGGGCTGTAACGGAGCAGATTGATTCTCCGGAATCTGCGAGCAGCTAGCCTGCTGTCGGTGCCATGAATCATGACCGCGCCTTGTCGCTCCGCGTCGGACCCTGCAAGGACGCTTGGCCCTCCGTGTCAGCTCGAGACCCCACACCAGCGCGGAGCCTCAGCCTGGGGCAGGGAAGCGCCGCAAGCACCTGGCCCCGGACCGCAGGCGCGGGGAACATTCCCGCAGGCCCGGCTGCGGCTGCCCACGCCTGGTGCTTCTGACCACGCCGGCTGGAGAATGGCAGTGCCACGCGTGGTGTGGAAGAAGTCTGTTTCCCCCTCACTCCCTCTCCGCATAGTGTTTAATCTTCCTAAGGCAAGCTTGTGTCCTGAAGAAGCCAATTTCTGTGCACGGTTAGCCCCATGACTCGCATGTGGGCCCCTAGGGCCCAGCCTACCTGGGAAGGCGAGGCAGCGGATCCTCAGGCCGTGGCCTCCAGACCTGACCGCTCAGCTCCCTCTCTTCTCCATCTTCCCATTTGGTAGCAGGGCAAACCTCTTTGTTTCAGACTGTCTCAGATTCGTGGGTTCCCTTTATTTCTGTTTATTGTTTTTGATCTGTTGTTGAAATTTCTTCTCTTATTTAAATTTTAGTGAACATACAGTGCAATGTCGGTTTCTGGAGTAGAATTCAGTGACTCATCACTTACACACAACACCCAGTGCTCATCACAACAAGAGCCTTCCTTAAAGCCCATCACCCATGTAGCCCATTCTCACCCCTCCCCTATCAACCCTCAGTGTGTTCTCTGTCTGTGTCTCTTACAGTTCAGTTCCCTCTCTCCTCTTTTCCCCCCTTCTCCTATGTTCATTTGTTTTTGACAAACATTGTTAAAATGTCTATGCTACCTAAAGCAATCTACACATTTAATGTAACCCCTATCAAAATACCACCACCATTTTCCACAGAACTAGAAAAATCCTAAAATGTGTACGGAACCACAACAGTCTCCAAAGACCCAAAGCAACCTTGAAAAAGAAAACCAGGGGTGCCTGGGTGGCCCAGTCAGTTAAGCTCTGCCTTTGGCTCAGGTCCTGGGATCGAGTCCCGCATCGGGCTCCCTGCCCAGCAGGGAGCCTTCTTCTCCCTCTGCCTGCCTCTCCCCCTGCTTGTGCACACCCTCTCTCTCTCTGACAAATAAATAAACAAAATGTTTTAAAAAAGAAAAGAAAAGAAAAAGATGATTCCGGACTTCAAGCTCTATTACAAAGCTGTGATCATCAAGCCAGTCTGGTAACGGCACAAAAACAGACACACAGATCCACGGGACAGAACAGAGAATCATGGGCTCCCTTTATTTATTTTTTTTTTAAGATTTTATTTATTTATTTGTGAGAGAGAGAATGAGAGACAGAGAGCACGAGAGGGAGGAGGGTCAGAGGGAGAAGCAGGCTCCCCGCAGAGCAGGGAGCCCGATGCGGGACTCGATCCCGGGACTCCAGGATCATGACCTGAGCCGAAGGCAGTCACTCAACCGACTGAGCCACCCAGGCGCATGGGCTCCCTTTAAAACAAATTGTATTTATTGTGGCCTCATCCACACCCGAAGAGGAGCATGTCCCGAAATTGACCCCTGTCTTTTCCTTGAATGACTTTCACAGCGGACCCCAGCTGTCGAGCTCCCTGGGGGACCGTCTAGCCGTCAAGAGGGGGATTTCTTCTCCTTCCTATGAAGGCCCTGATTTAACACTTGGGGAAACTCGTGGTGTTCCCATACCCAGTAGGATGGTATTCCGTATCTGGAAGGACTGCCGGCTTAGTGCCTATAAGGCCCCCTCATTCACTGTGAGCCCGCGACGTGCTGAGCGCTGTCCCCCCAGCCTCAAGAGATGCGAGCACTCCCATCCTGTCTGCTCAAGGATGAGGGTGGAGAGTGAGGGCACGGGGGTGCCCCTCCACCCTGGGGCCATGGTGCCAGATCTTCTGTCCTTCCTGCTGATTCCCCTTTATTTGTGCAGATACGTTTGGTTGGGATGTGTTTCCTCCCAGGACCTCCCCTGCCCACCTCTCTCCCTCTCTGCCCGTCTCAACCTGCTGTGCTCGGAAAACATCACTGGGTGCTCAGGAGCCCACCGGATAAGCCCCAGAACCCTAGGACTTGAAAAATTACAACCACCTTAGAAATTTCCAAGTTCACTGTCCCGGTTCTGTGCCCGAGGGGAACAATGTGCTCACTTAGGTTGTGCAGACAGAGAAGGGCCAGTCAGGGCCTCTCGCCCCTCTGCCTGGTGTGGGCTGGTTGCCGACGGTCGCGGCCACCTGCTCTGTGTGACCAGAGACAGGCCGTTCCACGGGGATAAGCCTCGGTCTCCTCTACAGCTCCCATTCCACTGTGTTCTGGTAACGAGCTGAGATAATGCTCGGAACATGGCACCTAGTTTGGCACGTGGGTCCCAGTCCACCTCGGGGGCGACCACCTGCTCCCAGTTCCTACATTTTGCATTTTCATGTTGGCGGACGCATCTTGGCTCCCTAAACTGTAAGAAACTTGTGGGCTTGGGACCCAGCACCGTTCTGTCTACTAGAAATAGAAAAACAAGAACACATGTTGAATTAATGATAAGGTAAAAGTTTCAAACCCAAATAGTATTATTTCTGTGAAGCCCGGATCACCTGCAGTGAGATGCTGTCTGTGGGGAGGGGTCTCTCGGTGAAACTCTGCAGTGAACACACACAAGGGCATCTCTACCTTTTCTTAACATTTGGAACCCTCACTGGGAGCTCCACCTTTAAAAGCCAATATAAGATGGAAAAGATTTATTAGTCTCATTTCTCATTACTCGAAATAAAAAAATTCTACACGATCGAAATTAAAGCTTATATGCTTCCCATTTCTAAAACATTCTTTTAAATGCGCCCCCCCCCCCACACACACACACACAAATCATCAAGTTGTCGTCTCTAATAGCAATGACTGTTTTAAGTACCTGGATGGGCATCTGACAGCATGTCTCAGCCCCGCGTTCCTGAATGAATACTCACGAAAACCGCGTGCCTTGTTTTTCTAGACGAACACGGACATGGCATGTGCCCACCAGGCCTGCTGAGGGATGAGCATAATCATTTTGAATTGGCCTCTCAGCCTGAAGGGAGCCTGACGCAGGCGAGGGACAGCCGAGCGCGGGTCATCTTGTGTCCGAGCCCGGCCCAATCTGTGTGTGTTGTTTGTTGCAGGCGCTAAGGAGATCGACATCGCCGCGACCCTGGAGCACTTGAGGGACCAGAGACCGGGCATGGTCCAGACAAAGGTACTGTCGGCCAGTCCTCGGGGATGGTGGGGGCGACAGGGGTGTCTTTCTGCAGGTGTTTCCCAGCAAGGAGAGAGGAGAAGGGGACCGAGCGTCTCCCACACAGGTCCCGGGCGGGAGTGAAAGGCCCCTCCCAGGAGGGCGCCCATGGTTCCAGCAACCACCCGCATTTCAGCAAAAACAGATGCAGTTGCATCTCCAGTCTTTGGAGTCCTCTCCCCACCAGATTTGGGGAAGGGGGAGAGCATGACATTTTTACAAAAAGAGCGCCATGATGGGGTGCCTGGGTGGCTCAGTCGGTTAAGCGTCTGACTCCTGGTTTCGGCTCAGGTCATGATCTCAGGGTCATGGTATTGAGCCGCATTGGTCTCCACACTCACTTGGGAATCTTAAAAAAGAGGTCAGTGACAAACCCCAGCACCCTTGCTGGGGAATGGTCTAGATCCACTAACATTCTGCCAGACCCCCCTATTTCTGGCCCACAGAACCACAGCTCTGTTGTGTGGTCATCAGATGTCCCCGGGTGTACTCAGGTCCTCAAACACCTCAAGATAGCTTATTGGCGTACTTACTGAGAAGGCCACGTTTGCAACAAGAGTAAACCCAAGATTGCTGGTTGGCTTTGGGTTAACCAGAGCTGGAAATGGGCTTAACATGATGTTCCTTTAGCACTCCGAAGTATCTGTGTCCAATGACCACGAAAGCTCCCGCACGTCTGTTCCATAAAGGTACTGAAGTCATAAAATACAGAATCTTCCCTTTCTCAAGGTAGTCCTGACACCCCAGCGCTATTAGCACCTAGACAAAAGGCCAAAATCACTAAAAGACGCACTTGCAGAATTACTTCCTTATGCCTAAGAGGACTGTAGGTTGTAAAAAGCACTCCTATGAAGTGGGGCTGACCCAAGGGCCCGAGGACCGTGCTTTGTGCCTGGTGGTGACGGTTCTGGAGCCCCAGGGAGCTTACCCCGCCTCCCGGGGTCTCACTGCTCCCCCTGGAAAGTGCCAGTAGCCCCCAGCCCCCTTTCTGTCTGAATGTTACCATGAGAAGACACACGTCACGCAGGGTCTGAGCTGGATGAGAGAAGACAACTACACCCCAAGCTCTCTGTCGAGAATGAAGCCACGCACCTCGGGAAGCTAAGCTGAGCACCCTTTGAACCGGAAGATCATTTCCTAAAATACCTTAACAGTCACCGGCTGGTTCTTGATGGCCAAAGTCAACCCCAAGCACCGAGGCAAATTTAATTTCAGTCTCTTACAGAACCACAATCCATCCTAAGCAGAGTCACAAGAAGCCTCGAAAAGACTCAAGAACTGCTCCGGCCGAGCCCTTCCCCCCGGCAGCCGCGCCTGCCCCAGCCCGTGACCTCCACCCAGGCTCCGGCACCTGGGGGTGCGAGCAGAGCCGGTGGGACAAGCAGCCCGCCCTGTGCTCGCTCGGCCCCAAAGGGCTGTCACCGGCACCGGGCGATCACCCCGTCCCCCTGTAGCACGCATGTGGGTCACGAGAATCGCATTTGATTAGCGTGAAGGAAGCTTATCAATCATGGCACACTTTGTTTTCCTAGGGTTTTTTTTTTTATCTGAAGTTTTGAAATTATTTCAGACCTGCAAAACACGTGCAGAAATAATACAGATCCTTCCCATGTGCCCTCACTAGGTTCCCACTGCTAGCACCTTATGTAACCACAGGTGACCGCGGCCAGAACCAGCATCAGTATGAGCCATTTACTCGGGTGCAGACCTTGTCCTAGCTCATCCATGTCCCCAGTGACCTTTCCCTGGAGCAAGACCACCCCTGAGCACTCAGTCGCCGTATCTCCCACATCTCGACTAATGGGACAGCTCGGTGGCCTTGAGAGGTCTTCAAAAGAGAATTGACAGGTGTGGCTTGGTTTTCATAGACTGTCCCTTGCTTGGGTTTGTCTGACGTTCCTGTGATGGGTTCTGGTTGTGCATCTTGGGCAGGAACGTCCCAGAAGGAGGCACGTGACCCCGGTTGATCTCCTTTCTAGGGAGGTGAGCTTCGGTCACTCGGCTCAGGGGGTGTCCGCCAGGTGATTCTTCTTGGTAACGAGCAGTGTCTTGGGGGAGAGATTTGGTACTGTTCACGTCTCTTTGTGGTTGTGCTTTATCATGATGTCAGCAGGTGACAAATAACCCGCAGGTTTTGTGCCTGCGGAAGGTCCATCCCACTAGCCTGACCATGCCACTTGGTGGTAGCCTCGTGGGGGCCACAGCGCTGCAGGTCAGTGCGCTGTCCCTGGATGGTCTGGCCCCACGGGGCCACCAGAAGCCGTGGAGGAGGCTCGGAGGCCTGAGAACCGGGCCTGGTGAGCAGCGTCAGTTTATAACCAGGAACGGAAAGCGGATTCTGTCCCTGCCTGAATCTTGATGCTCGTTGCTCCCTCTCCTACTGCACAGATAACCTGCAGGAAATCGTCAATTCAAGACTCACTTCTTCGCTCCCTGAACCTGGGTACCTCCCAGGCAGGCCTCCCCCACCCCGGACACCCCAGACGGTACAAGGACACCCAAAACACAGACTCCACGGTGGATCTGGGCGAAACCGTGGGGACGGTGCATAACACAGTGCAAAAACCATTCGGCCCTCATGGCTCGAGGTCCTGAGGCCCAGGGAGCAGCCCCCAGGCCCCGCCGGAAAGGGAGATGAAGCATCCAGAGAGCAGAGAATTTGCCTCACGTAGCTTCCCGGCAGGAATCGACCCTCTTCCTTCGGGTAGGGTTCAAAAGTTGTCTGGAAGTGTGCATGTAAATGCAATTCCTAGAATTTCAAGGTATAAAGAAATAAGCACATCAAAGCCACCATTCTGTCTTAATTTGACGGCTTTGCCCAACATTACTCCATGAAATGGAACTTCCCCTGAAGTTCAGTTTAACAAAAGGAAGATTTCTGTGGGAAAAAATAGTGCCATACGATCTGAATACTCTTCCAAGGGAAGGTCACCCGTGGGCTGTTCAAACCCATATAGTCAGGTTGCGCCACGTGAGCCGAAGACACAAAACAGACCGGGGACGGAGCCCCCCGACCCCCAGTGCACAGCCTGACCGCACAACTCCATCTTTATGTTCAAAAAAGCCCCCGATGGCTGGTTTTCCACCTGGAAACAAACCCTCGGTCAAACGAAGCACAGACACCTGCCGTGCGTCTGCCTGAGGAGAGGAAGGGAAGCCACGGCCCGTGGCCGGGGAGCTGGCACCGGCCGCGGGGACGCGCTGAGAAGCGAGTGGCAGCATGGGGTTACGGCCCGGGAGACCCGAGCAGAAGGAGATGTCACCCAACCCCCACCACCGCATGTGTGTCAGCGCAACAGAACACTCGTTCTAGGAAGGGAGATGAAATCGCAGCATGTGGGTGAAACAGCACACTTCACAAGGTGAGCGACGTCTCCTCCTCCACGCGTGTCGTGGAACAGACTCTCCCCCTCCGTCCCCTTCATCTCGTGAAGGTGCCTCCTTAACCAAAAGCCTGAACGCTCTCCGTAACGACACTTTCTCTTCGACGCTCACTTCGAAAGCCGACTGACCCGTGTGTCCCCAGGAAGGAGTGATGTCAGTTGGCCCGGCGGGTGCGCATGGGGTCCACATGTGGTACCGCGCCTCCTGCCCCTCCCCGGCTCGTCTCTGCATTTGGGTTTCACCCTATCCTTGTTCTGCTCCGCAAGCCCGGCTCCCTCTCTTGCTCGGGGTCTGGAGAGACAAGGACTGATTGAATTAAGTGTAATCCAGTTCACAGCCCCGGGCCTCCCGACCCATGTCCTGCTCCATCAGAACCCTCTCAGCACCTTGAGATTGTTCCCCTCAGTCTCTGTGTCTCTATCTCCCCCATTCACACGCATGCATGCATGTACACACATGCATGTGTGCATAGTTACATGTGTGCGTGCACCTATGAACGTACACGTGCACACGCATGCATGTGTGCACCTATAAACGTACACGTGCACATACATGCATGTGTGCATAGTTACATGTGTGCACGCACCTATGAACGTACACGTGCACACGCATGCATGCATGCATACCTATGTGTGCATGCACCTATGAACATACACGTGTACACACATGCATGTGTGCATACCCACGTGTGTGCATGAGTATAAATGTACACGTGTGCACACATACATGTATGCACACCATGCGCACTCATGCATACACATGTGCGCAATACGCACTCGTGTGTACACATGCCCCTGTGCACACAGTGCTCATTCGTGTGCACACATGTGTGCACACATGCTCGCTCACGTGTACACATGTGTGCACTCATGCATGCACTGTGCACGCATACGCACATGTGCACACACTCATACATACATGTGTGCATATGCACTCGTGCATACACGTGGCGCACATACATGTGTGTGCACACATATGCACATGCATGCACCCTGTCCCTCACCTGCTCTGGTATCATATGTCAAGGATGGAGCCAGGGCTGATCTCTGTGAAGAACAGCTGAGCCAAGGGCACGGAGAGCACTCCGTCCTGCCCCCACCGTGAGGGAGATGCGGGGAAGTGCTGCCCTGGAGGGGTCGCTGGCACTCCACGGAGGGTAACAGCTCCTGGGACAGCCATTCGCTAGGACTCCCTTTGAATTCGGGAATGCAAGTATCATGGCAATGTTGTGTGGGCCCACCCAGTCCTTTGTGGGAGCCACAAGGATTGCAAACACGAATCTGAGTGTGACTATAAATGCAAACACACACACACACACACGCAGCCCGAACACCTGCACTGACCCTCACAGACGCCACAGCAAAAGCGAGTCAGGTGCTGTGTCTGCCCAGCTTGTCTGCTGGGCTCCCCAGACTTCTGAGGGGCCGACTCGGGCCTGTCAGTGGAGGTGGTGCCTGAAACTGGGTGTGCGCCTGGCCTCCACCCACGGCGGGAGACCGGAGCGCGTGGCGGCGTTGCCACTCGGGGCTACTTCTCGGGGAAGGAGCAGGGCGGCTGACAAGCCCCGTCTCATTGCCGACCAGCCCCGAGGGGCACGGCACGCCTCTGCCAAGGGTCCCTCGTCCCAGGAGGCCCCCGTCTCCTGCCAGCCGGTGCTCCCAGAGCCTCCCGTGGCAGGGCCCGGCGCCGTGAAGCCCGCCGGCGTCCTGCAGGCCCTCGGCTCCCGGGGCCACCGAGCACACTGCGACCATCTAAGCCACGCCTCTGTCGACGCGTCACGTGTGCAACGAACACAGGGTGTCTGGATGAGGCTAATCGAGGCACAGGTGCACGTCTGCAGTCTGCTGTCCTCCCTGGACCCTGTTTGCCCCCCTTCCAGATACTCGTGATGGCTACGGAGGACCCCAAGTGTGTGAACTTGCCCACTTCCCTGTCGGCGCTGTCTTGGGATGGACTGTCAGCGTGTCAAAAGCTGTAAGCAGCCACGTGACACGTGACATGAGAGTTCCAAAGAGTCTCCTTTCATTTTTTCACGTTTCAAGTCATCATGAAACCTTGGTCTCCCCATTGGCAAGCCAGCGTTTGGGGAAGAAATGGTCTGGGGTGGCTGTTCATGCGCCATAAACCTGGATCCTCCCCACGACACGTCCCCTTGAACAAGCCGTTAGCCGGAGCGCCAGCGACAGGAGACAGCTTCCCGCCACTGGTGACGGCCAGAGGCCCCTCTTCCGGGGCCTTCGAGCGTGAGGAGGGACGCTGCTGGGCGCGGGTAAAATCGACTGGGCGTGCCTTTGACGGCAGTTTCCAGAAGGGGCATCAGGAGGCTGTGTCCACTAGCAAAACACCGGGTTGGTTCACGCAGGTCGTTCCTTCGACGCCCGTACAGAGAACACCAAGGGACGGTCTTTGGCCCCAAAGTGAGGGTTAAATCATCCTGCCCTTCTGTTGTTTCTGCTCCTTCCTGGGCATTCAAGGTGGGTTTTAACCATGATGTTTGGGTTTGAAGCTGCTCTGCCACGCGGATTATCAAGCACTGAAGCCATCCACAGGGCTCCTCAGTAGGTGACAGTGTGCATCACTTATTATTCCGGTGACTTCTCTGGATGACCAGGAGGGGCCCAACGCCCACTTCAGAGTTTCTCTGCAGCGTCGGGGGCATCATGTGGCAAGGACGTGTGCAGGGGACTGGCCTTGACCCGCGTGGAGGGGTGGGCTTTGTTCCCGTCTGCTGAGCCCTCCCCTCCCAGAGAGGGGAACGGTCCTGACACCGCCCTCGTTTCTACCTCCCGGTCTTGGCAGGTTTTGCATGTGCCCCGTCCAGCGTGTGCCTACGACCAGGAGCACATATGGGCACACTTGTCTAAGGCTGGACGCACTGCGGATGAGGCGGGGTTTCCCGGCAGGTGCGACGGGGAAGGGCCGGGCTGGACGCTGGGGCGATGCCCACGACAGCGAGGACACTACCCCTCGGCCTTTCTGAGGGGAGGCCATGTGGCTGGCTCCATGGCAGGTCAGCACGCAGCTGGTGTGGGGGCTGGAGCTCAGGGCAGCCGGTGTCTGTGTCAGCTCTGGCCCACCCGGGGGGCCGTACACTCCGCCATCCTCGTGCAGTCGCGGGCTTAGCAGCTCCTCCCAGTGACAAAAGATGGGACTTTCCCACGTGAGAAATTCTAATCACCATCAACATGGGGTCTCATCTTGCACACCACCATCCTCTCTACGGAGATGTGCGACCTTTCTTCCTTTTCCTGAACCAATTCCTTCTGCAAAATGACACAGCAGAGCTAAAGGCCGGAGTCGAGAGGAACGTGGTCCCGCTCACCTCTGATTCGTTTTCTCGTCCCTCCAGGAGCAGTTCGAGTTTGCGCTGACGGCCGTGGCGGAGGAGGTGAACGCCATCCTCAGGGCCCTCCCGCAGTGAGCGCGAGCGCGCAGCCCAAGGCTGGGAGGGGCCGGCGTCACGACTGTCGACGGTCGCTGGGAATTGCGATGCCACTTAGTTGTGTGTCTTCGGCGTCCCTGCCTCGTCAGTGCGGTCCAGCGGTTACAATGTGCATTTGTGTTCAACCAAGTCATAGTAAGGGGAGATTTGGGGGATCGTCCAGTCACAAGGACAATCACTTTATCTGTTTTCACTTCTTTGAAAGGAAAACACTTTTCCTTAAAGCACACATTCACATCCTTAATTGCAAACAGTGCCATACAACGACGCTGTAGGTGGTGCGCTCCGCACCATCTCCACGAAGAGAGCCGACCTGTGGGCCGTAACTCTGAAGGATGGGCCAGCTCTGCAGGGAGGGGACCCGGGGAAGCGGGAAGGGCACCACCAGCATTTGGCATTTGTCTTTACGACGGCTTATCACCGGCAGGAACCACCCCCCCGGCTTGTTCAGGAGTTAGAGCAACAAACTTACCATTCTGCAGCTTTGGGGGAAATAACAGCATCGACCCTGCATCTTCCCTCCGTTCCCGTGCGGGCTGGCCGACACCTGCCCCCGGCACTGTGGACAGCCCATCTCCACCGCCCACCCCCCACAGAAGGGCAGGGGCCTCGGGGCACACGTGTCCCAGGCCAGCCGCCCCAGGCAAGGCCTCCCATCCGCAACCCGTCTGGAGACGCATTTTTAACTTTAAATACAGATTTACACATTGCAAAAGCAGATGCTGTTAATAAACTCTTCCCTTAGGGGTAACCAGAGCCAGGGAACCAACCCGCAGGTAACAAGCTCCGGGGTCCCCAAGGAGCACACGAGCCCCCGGCGGGCTCCTGTGCTCCCCTCTTGGGGGATGTCCTGGGCCCTGCCGGCATCCAGGGCAGACCCTGGGTACCCCATTCCCAGAAGGGGATGCAGGGTGCCGTACATTGTTGGCTTTACTGGGTGAGATCCTGGCACCAGGGAGAAAGGCGGAAATGGCAGCGTTTCCTGGGCCCCGCCCCCTCCCAGGGTCACCTCGGTCAGACACTGTGACTCGCTCAGACACAAGCGCCTAGAGGCGATTCGGGTTTGCCACCCTCCCCAGCCCCCGACAGAGGAGCTCATTTTGCTGGACTCAGAACGGTGGGTTCTAAGAAGGCATGCAGACCGCTCTGTGCGCTACAGCTTCATCTTAGGATTAGATGTGAATACATCCCCGGTACCTTTCCACGTCCCGCTTACTGCACACATTCTTCCCGCCTAAGTAGACACTGCAACCCAGAAACCAGTAGCCTCGGGAGAACGGCCTGTGACTGGGGAGGAAGATGCCAAATACTGTTTGTGTCTCTAAGTGGTCCTGTCATGTCATCTGCTCTAATAGATCTATAATTTTTTGCCAGAGTTGTTTCTCCCTATCTGGAATCTAAATAATGAATAGGAACTAATTTATCTGAATATAGGAAGCGTATACCTACTTGTAATTTCTAACTTCTTATGTTTCAAAAGAAATCCTCCAGTGTGAGATATATAAATATATTTAATTGTGTCAGATTAAACTTTTGATTTCACATTCGAATGGTCTTTATTTGGGGAGGATAGAGCAACGTTCCCTGCCCGTCCTTGGCTCCCGGAGGTGGGGGAGCAGGTGGGAACCTTTCCGAGAATTCCCCCTTTGCAGGGATAGCTGTGCACGAAAGGCCAGAGCGTCCCCGAGCTTTCCTTCCTCAAAGACTGATTGCAGGATCTCCGGAAGCAGCCAGGGCCATGTTCTGTGCAGAGTGTCCCCCCAGCCTCTCATGCCCATCTGTGCAGTGTGAGCACAGGGCTAGCGGCGGATGAGCCTTCCTTCCCGGGCCTCGGGCTCCACCCCCCACGGCCCAACGCCCATCCTGGCACATCAAGGCGGCGGCACAGGGACAGGCGTGTCCTATACTGCCTCAGCGACCCCAGTGACGTGGGGCTGCGTGTGGAATCAGTTTGTCATGGGAGTAGGGAACCACACACAGGGCCCGTCAGCTTGAGGGGCTCAGTGTCCACCCAAGCGCTGGTGTGCGTTTCTCGAGAGATCAGCCCCAGGCCCCGTTGGGTGGACACCCAGTTACATCCGTCTCTGACTCCCCTTTCCGGAGTCGGCCTCACGTTCAAACCCTGCCTGGGCATCCGCGGATTGCGCGTCCCACTGCTGTGAGTTACTGCCATTGGGGGTCCCCGAGGCATCACACGGGGCGGCTTCTCATGAAAAGCACATGTCAGAACGTGCACATGGCAGACCCCAAAGCCATGAAAAGGTTCCCCTCCCACCGTGAGTATTTAGGAATGCTGGACAACATGTACTGGAAACATACGGTGCATGCCAGCTCTAAGGAGAGGGCAAAGAGGGAGCCCATGGCCGGTGTAGGCAAGTGTGGACACCGAGCCGCACAAGGGCTGGGGGCCGGTTCTGAGCAGGCTGCTCTGACCCAGCACAGGTGGCCCCGGGAGGTGGTGTGCTGGAAATGTCCAGAACCAGCTCTCTCTGCAACCGTGGACATGCAGAAATGCGCTGAGATGTGCCCTCAGCCAGCACACGGTGGTGACAAAGCCAGTCCTCCTCATCGTCAGGGCCACGGAGCCAACAGCTTCCCGCAGAATGCTCGCCGCAGCCTTCCACACCGCCCACTTTCGGTCACGTCTTCTCCGTCACTCACCTGCTGATTCCTGGGATGCATATACCCCACGAAGAGTGACTTCAACGAGGGAAGGGTGGTGAGTGCCCGGGAAGGGACCCGGACGAACGCAGCTGCTGGGGATGGGGGCGCAAAGGGAGTGAAGGAACTAGGAAGTGGCCACCTGTGCGTTAACAGAAGTTCTCGTTTCATACAGGGTGGTTCCTAATAGCGGCTGATTTTAGCAACCAGTCCATAAAATCCCTGCCTGTTGGTTGCAGCGCCTGCAGCGCATCCCTGCCCGGAGCCCAGCAACGACGGGAGGGGTCTGGAGACCGGCCAGCCCAGGGGTCCTGCTGGGAAAGAAAGGTGCCTGGAGGCGGGGGGCGGGGGCCAGTCCGCCCATCCCGCACGGCACAGGAAACCCAAACCAAACAAGTAAGGTTAAAATATGAGCCCAGCGGAGGCCTCCGGTGCCGAGCATCAGCGGAGGCAAAACCACTCGGGTGGAGCACCAAAGTCCCCAGAAGGATGCGCCCCAGAGGACTGGATTAGCTCCCCATAAACAACCACAAAGCACAGGGGGAAGAGGATCACAGCAGGGCAGAGACGTCTGAAACGGGGAGAAATGCAGACAACACAACAATACAAAAAGGCAATAAAATGAGTTTGAACATTCCAAACGGCATATAAAAAGAACAGTGTGGGTGAAAGGAAGCAGATTTGAAAAAGAACCCAAAGCAACTTATTTTTTAAAGATTTATTTACTTATTTATTTATTTATTTGAGTGGGGGGAGGGGCAGAGGGAGAGGGAGAGGATTTCAAACAGACTCCCCGCAGAGTGCAGAGCTCCTTGCGGGACTCGATCTCATGACCCTGACATCAGGACCTGAGCAGAAACCAAGAGTGGAACGCTGAACTGACTGAGCCCCCCCAGGGGCCCCCAACACAGCTTCTGGAAGTGAAATCCAAAGGGAACGATTATTTAGAAACTGGGGAAGACATGTGCACGTGGGACCAGCTGAGGTAAGAACCTGGGTTCAGCAGCAGGCTGGGAACCGCTGAGGCACCAGCCGTAACCTGACAACCGGGCTGAAGACCCCTGGAGACGTTCTGAGACGGGGTGGAGCCAGCATTCTGGAAGGAAACAGAATCGGTGCAAGACCCCCTGCAGAGTCTTTGCCCCACAACACAGGGGCGCTCGTGTGGTGCCAGCGTTCCCCCCGCCAGTGCGACCCTGCAGGACTTGCTGGGACCCCGGGTCCCAGCCCCCGTGGCCGCGGACACCTGCTGGAGGTCCTTGTTACCACCATGGCCCTCCCTCCTGGACTGGCTTGGGATGTGCATCTCCCAGTCACCGGGAGGGCTTTGTCCCCCTGACAACGCCCAGCACACAGTGGGGCACCAAGTGTGTACTGTGACAGAGGGGCTGTAGCCCCTGGTCCTGAGGGGCTTCAAGATCACTTGGAAGACCGGGGCAGTTGGGGGACCAAAGAGAAAAATACGTGCGCACCCCCCGGACCCTCCCCAGGTGGCAGCGAGCTCAGCGGGGAAGCAAGCAGGGCACGGTGAGGGGTCAGTCACCCACCTTATGGGAGCTCTGAACTCACCCCGCCCACCCTCCCCCATCGCCTCCAGAGACCGAGTCTCGGTGGTTCTAATCCCCTTCCAACACCGTGGGCTTCGCCGGCAAGGGATTCAGGGATGCATTTTTATGAAATTATTGCTTGAGACTCTGTTTTTTTTTTTCAATAAAAACTGTTAGATGTAATCTTACAGGAAGAAAGCGGAAGCGCTGTGCACGGCAATTCTATAACCTGAGTGATTCAAGATCGCACAATGCCTCTCTTCACAGCGAGACCCCAATCTGCGTTCAGGGTATTGGAACCGGGGTCAGCGCAAATCCTTGGAAACACGCACGCGTGTGCTCATATGCACACCTGCTGGTCGCTGAAGTCCTGGGAGCGTGAGGGCGCTGGGTCACAGCCTGGCCCCCGTGTGCCACAGTCAGCTCTATTCCACCCTCACCCGCACCTCCCCCACTCGGCAGCATCCTGCCCTTACTGGCCAGACCCGCTCGGTGCCATCCCCCCGGCGGCCGGGCTGGGCAGGGCCAGGCAGTTTTCCCTCGCCCTCCGAAGGCCCGCGGTCATGGGGCTTGGCACAGCTCTGTCCGCTGACACCGAGTCCACTTGCCACCGCGCCCGCCGGTGGCCACGTCCTGCAGCCAGGGCTCGGGGCGCCCTTGCGCGCAGCATCCGCACCGTGTCCCTCGCGGCTGTCCCCACGGCTGGCGGGAGCATCTGCTTCTCAAGCGTCTCAGGGGAAAGCCGCAGGCCACCGTGCTCCTCCCCACGCT